TGCAGAGAAAGAACCCCAGGAATCATATTCTGCTTCTTTAGCTGTTGAATCTAATATATATAAACTTAGTTTAGGTGGGTTGTTTGTTGTTGTTACATAGTTGGTGTATATATTATCGTTATAGTTGCTGCTGCTGCTGCTGCTGCTGCTGCTGCTGCTGCTGCTGCTGGGGGGGGAGAAATCTGAGTAGCAGAATGCTGTTTGTTGTCGTATACGTATATGTAGAGAAGAACCTTTATATCCTTTATTATAAAATAAAGAAGAAATATCTATTTCTTTATAATCATCTAATACAGAAATAGATTGTATTATATTATCATCAGTAGCAGTTGAATCATCTCTTATACGCATATAACTATCATCTTTCATTCTTGTTATAGATAGAATAGGGCCCCCACAATGTATATTTCTGCTGTCTGCTCCCCCCTCTGTATATAAAGAAAGTATAGCTTTTCCACTCTCAAAAGTTTCAATAGGAATGTGAAAAGAAAGAAATGCTTGACTTTCTCTACCTGGATATTCTATTGCTTTTGTTTGATGTGCATGCAACTCTTTATTTATTATTACTTCATCTTCTAGATGATATGCCCATTGATATGCTTTTAATATTTTTTCTGTTTTTATAAAAGATACATTCGCCGGGATTCCTTCTGTTATCATGCATGCATTGTCTTCAACAAAATTCAAGTCTGGTGGTGTAAGCCCAGCAACTACACTCTCTGAAATATATGTAGAAGATAAAGGTTCTATAGATTTATTATTTTCAGATACACGCATGCATGCACATGGTGTTAATACTATTAAAAATATATTCAATAATATTATACTTACGAATATTATATTGTATACAGAAGGTATCATATACACACCTATACTGCTGTTGCTGCTCCTCTTGGTCCTGGTATTGTTCTTCCTGCTGCTGTTGCTGCTGTTGCTGCTGTTGCTGCTGCTGCTGCTGCTGCTGTTGTTGCTGCTGTTGCTGCTGGTTTCGTGTTCGCTGCTGCAAGTTGAATTGCTGGGTGGTGGTGCTGCGGCTGTGGCTGCCGTCGCTGCACACATTACGGAAAAATTGGGGGGTATGAAAGAAAAGTTGAATTGTTTTGAAAAACTCACCGCGGGAAAGTTGAATAAAGTTTTTTTTAGCCTGTTCAGAAGGCTGTTGCTTCCTATGTCGATGGTACGCATCACGGCAACGACATGGGCGATCCTCGGTGAAAGCGGCTGAAAATTAGCGGAACAAAGAACAATTTAACATTAATTATACAATATAAAAAGAAATAAAACCTAAAAACTCGAAATTATTCATGAACACACGAGAAATCATCAAGGATACATGTCGATTGCCGCACACGGCGACCAGCGCCCAGAGGCGTGCCCGTTTCATGCACCTTTTCGTCCGTTGATCCTTTGTTTTTTCAGAGTATTTGAATTATTTACATTATGTTTTCTTGAAATTCAGAAAAAGAAAGGAAATACTGCAGCTCGAACCGGCGGCTTGTTGTACAGGATCGTAGAAACCTGAACAGATGCTAGTACCAGTGGAGGCGTGAAACCGGTGGGAAACTGCTGCAGTGTTGCGGTAAAAAAAGAGAGAAAAGTTTATAAAAACATAAAAAGAGTTTTGAATTGAATATTTTCCAAAAAGAAACAAAAATTTTCATGAATTTCCTCTTATTTCCTCGGCAGTGTTCAGCACCGGTGCCCGCCGCCCGAGGGTTCACTCACAGCTGAGCTGTACGTACACCCCAATCGCCGCGCAATACAGAAGACCGCAATCCACACATTCCCTGTAAAATTAGAGAAAAATTATTTGATTTTTGCAGCAGTAATTCAGTTTATTTTCTGTGTTTCAACGGTTACAGAGACGGGGGTGTGGCTGCATCGATACCAGCATCGACAGGGAGATATATAGTCAACGTTTTCTCTCTTTTTCTCCTTCACACTAAATACGCTGCATGCAGTATTAGCTGTGCCACTTCATTTAATTTAAATTCCTTTACAACAGATGTCGAGGGTTCATCGAAACAAATAAAATGTTGCAGCCCCTTCTTGTATTCCCGCAGCAATGCATGCAGG